CACAAAACCCAACACCTGGAGGACTCGGCCAAAACCGAGCCACCTCTAGGTGGCTCGGCCAAAACCGAGCCACCAAGAGGTGGCTCGGTGGCCGAGCCACCTAGGTGGCCGAGCCACCTGTGGCCGAGCACAGATCCGGGCACAGATCTGGGAGCCTATAAATAGACCCCTAGGCTCATTGTTTGAGAGGTTGGATTCTTTGGAGGCGAAACTCTGCTGGATTGAGAACTCGACTTCGGAATCTTGGAGCTTTGAAGACTTGGACATTCTAGATCTGGTTCTTGGCGATCATCCACGCCAAATAAGGCAGGAGTTCGAGAGAGATCAGATCTGAGATCTGCACGGTCATCCTCCAGATCAAAACTTGGTTTTTGATCCCGAGAAGAGTATCGATTTCGCTTGGTCGATTTCGATTACTTAGGGCTATTATTTTCTTGGCCAAATAGTACCCCTAGATATTTTTTTCCTTCGTGAAATAACACCCGTCATACCGTGTAGATCCGACCGGATCAAGATCGCGTGGTGGTCCACGGATTAACCCCGGCGCAGGCGAAGAACCCACACAAGCGAGAGACCGCAAAACAGGATCTTGCGATTTGTTCAAAAGGAGAGTTGTAATTTTTCTTTTTTTCTTTGATTTTATTGTAACTGAATCTTATAAAAAGACCGGATCTTTTGTAATCGAAAAACTATTACTTGAGAAAGCAATGACTTCAATGAAAACAACTTTCACCGCGAACAGTTCTCAGCCTCCTTTCTTTGTTTACAGATCCAAATCCCCTCTCCTCCTCTCAGCATCTCCGCTCTCCTACGTTCTTTTGTCCGTCGTCGCCAATCTCCCCGCTGTTGTCTGCACCATCTCCGCTAGCTGTGGTCCACCCCCTCTCCGCCCGCCCTTGATGCCGCTCTTTGCCCCCTCTCTTCTGCTTAGGATCTGAGCTCCACCGTTAAGACTTGAACTCCGTCTTCCCCTCTCTATCGTTCCCTCTCTGCCGGTAAGACCTGATCTCTGCTGCAGCGTCCCCCTCTCTGCCTACCGCTCTCCGCCGCTCAGGATCAGAGGTCACTATTGTCCATCGTAGATCGACAGAGCTTCGTCGATCATGTCCCCTCGACAACTTGATTCCTCGACTCGCTCAGATCCCCTCCTTGACACTGTGTCACCTCGATACCGCTCGGGTCCCTTGACGTCGCTTTCCACTACTCGATGCACTCAGATCTGATCGAGGCGTTGATGTCGCCCGACACCTCCTCCTCTGTGTGGCCCTCCTCATCCTCCTTGATGCCTCATATTCTCTCGACGCCTTGACACCTCAGATTCCTTCCTCGATGCCTCAGATTGATGCCTCGATTATTATAAAACAATAGTTTTATGCAGCTCTCTTGTATGCACTTAATTCACCATATGATGATTGTAAAACTATAGTTTGGACTCTGTAATTCACATGTTAGGATGTTTATTTTATATTTTTTCGTGTAAGGCCATCTCCAACCCATCGCACCAAAATGGTGCAAACTCTGCACCAAAATGGTGCAAAAGTCACATCAAACAGTAATTCATCTCCAACCTATTACGCTATTTTTTGCACCAAAAAATAATATTCTCAGTATATTCCTTTTTATCTACTTTTATATTATTTTTTTTATTCCTTATATTTTTAACTATTTCAACAATTAACCCTACATATCAAAATTTTTTCACATATTTTTCAAACAAAATGATTTATTATTTAAAAAATTAAACTAATAAAATATTATTTTATTAATTAAAATAACTTGTTTGCTAAAATATTATATTTTTATTATTGATATTGCCAAATATTTTATTTAAGAACACAACAGAAAGTAAAATATAAGAAAATAATTAAACATTAACAACAATGTAAAAATTACAAATTCAATGTGCACTTAACTATCTGAATTAGTGTATTCCTCCCATAGATGATCTATCAATGCATTACGAAGCGCAATATGGGCATCTTTATCCTTTATTTGTTTGTAACGTGCAATAAATTGATTAAATCTTATAATTTCATCAGTTACAATATCAACTTCTGGTGTTGGTGCTTCCCTCACTTCTTGAATTGGTGCATAAAGATCATGTTCATCCTCGATTATCATATTGTGCATAATAATGCATGCAGTCATTATGTCATGTGACACATATTTTTTTCCAAAAACGTGCTGATCCTGCCATAATTACAAATCGTGACTGGAGAACTTCGAACGCACGTTCTACATCTTTTCTACATGCTTCCTGTTTCATGGCAAAATATTTTTTCTTCCTACCTTGTGGCTGTTGGATTGTTTGTACAATAGTAGCCCATTTTAGATATATACCATCAGGTAAATAATAACTCATGTTATACTCTTTTCCTTGAATAACATAGTGAGCGGGAGGAGCAATACCTTGAGCTAGATTAGAGAAAAGATTAGATGACTCCAGCACATTAATATCATTATTGGTGTCTGGCATACCAAAATATGCGTACCATATCCAAAGATCATAATCTGGTACAGCTTCAAGGATAATAGTTGGTGACATACTACGTCCTGCGTATTGCCCAGACCATGTCATTGGACAATTTTTCCATTTCCAATGCATACAATCAAGACTTCCTAACATTCTTGGAAAACCATGTTTTTTACCAATATAGAGTAGCCTAGCAATATCATTAGCGTTAGGTGTTCGTAGATACCGCTCTGCGAATATCTCCATCATAGCACGATAAAATTTTATCATACTTTCAATTACTGTTGGCTCACCTATTTTAATGTATTCGTCTGTAGCATCAGCTAGTAGACCGTATGCCAACATGCGAAAAATAGTTGTTACTTTCTGTAACGATGATTATCCCATTCTATCAGGTCCATCACTTTATTGTTGGAAGTAATAGTCATGATCATTCACTGCATCAACAATACGAAGGAACAAACTTCGAGACATCTAATATCGACGACGAAACATATCTTCACCAAAACGTGGATAATCGGCAAAGTAATCTATGACCAAATTCTGATGTGCAGTTTCTCGATCGCGGTTGATCACTGCATGATCGGGAATCGAGCCACCATGGATCGGTTGGTAGTTTTATTGACATAAATTATTAGCGAGGATCATGTTGTTGTTAATGTACTCACGAATTACTTCTTCGGTTTCATCAATCGCTGCCATGATCTTTTTTAGAAAATTATCATTATCCGAAGATGAAGATGATGATAAATATGATGGATCTCCAGCATCGAAATTCATTTTTGAAGTAAGAAAATAATGACTGAAGTATGCAGAAAGGGGAATAATAATTTTAACACAACAACGAATAATTGTGTGGAGGAACCTAATCTAGTATGCTATTTATAAAACTTTGCTTAGTTGTATACGTTGAACAATGTGTAAAGCTGAGCTGAGTTCAGTAAATGATTTCCAGCTGTTATCAATTTGTCACAAAATTTTAATTTGCTTAGCTGTATACGTTAGACAATGTGTAAAGCTGAGCTGATTTTAGAAAATGATTCCTACTCATATAAAGTTTTCATACAATTCAATGAATGTTTAGCTGTATACGTTGGACAATGTGTAAAGCTGAGCTGATTTTAGAAAATGATTCCCACTCATATAAAGTTTTCACATAATTCAATGAATGATTAGCTGTATACGTTAGACAGTGTATAAAGCTGAGCTGATTTCAGAAAATGATTCCTACTCATATAAAGTTATCACACAATTCAATGAATGCTTAGCTGTATACGTTGGACAATGTGTAAAGCTGAGCTGTTTGTACACAACGATTCAATTTCAAATGTTGACCACCGACAAATTCAAATTCAAAAAAAAAAAAACAAATTTGAATTGGCTATAAATAACATTCATGAATTCTACTTCAAACCACCCAATTCGAAGTATTTCTTTAAAGTATTTCTAATCTCCAAACGAACCGCTTTTTACAAAAAAAAAATGTATGTTCGATCATCTGGATACACGGTTACTGAAGATGTGCTCCTTTGTCAAGTATTCATGGATATTTCTCAAGACCCTATTATCGGTAGAAACTAGTCTTGAGATGCATTTTGGTCTCGTGTGGAGGACAGATACAATGAACTTCGAGATCAGTATTTTGAGGTTCGTACGAGCCAATCAGTTCATTCTCGAATGGAAATCATAAGTAATGAAGTAAGGAAATTAAATGCGTGCTTGAGACAAGTAGAAAATCTGAATCCAAGTGGTGCTTCATATGAAGATATTGTAAGTATTCTATTAATTATCTTTTGAAATTTATTATTATTATTGAAATACATAGCTTGATGTTTACTATAATTTGCAGTTAGTTCGAGCAAAGATGTTATTTATGCAAGAACCAAAGTACAAAAAAGGTTTCAACTTTGATAATGTCTGAAATATGGTTAAAAATTTTGAAAATTTTAAAGATGATGTCCCCACAGCAAGACAAGTTGGTCGAAGACAACCCCAAAGTGTGAACTTCGACTCGTCATAATCAGATAATCCCACTCCGGAATCTCCTATATCAACATCTCCTGGACTGTCATCATTTACTCCACCTAAATGACCTATTAGGGTAAAAAAATCCAAATTGAAAAGGAAAATAATGATCATGAGTCAAGTGTAGTGGACTCAATCGACACAAATAACAACTTACTTATAGACAGGTTAGACAAGACGAGCTTGGACATGCAAGTAGCATTTGATATCGAACGAGAAAAGATAGCCATGAAAAAAAAGATAGAGATGAATGGAAAATTATAATGAAAGATTTGAATTTCATTGCTGATCCAACCATACGTGAGTATGTTCGAGCTCAACAAATTAAAATAATACAAAAATGAAATCAACAAGAACAAGGATCTGCTTCTAATTTTGGTAATTATTTCAATGATATTGGAAACTCTAGATCCGATCTACCAGATTATTGAGAGTTGCTTGTCCATCTTATGTAATGTTATATGTCTACTTTATATTTTATGTTTTATTTTAATGCAGTTTTATATAATATGTGTCAGTTTTTATATGTTATGTATTTCAGTTATGTAATTTATATTGGAATTATGTATTAGGATTGCTCTTTATATTTTTAATTTGTATATCATGGGACTTTAATTATAATGTCTAGATTTTAATATTATAATTAATAATAATGTCTTTTAAATTTTAACATTATTTTTATTTTTAAAAAATAATTTATTTTGTCCAAATTATACAATTGGGGTAAAATTATAAAATTTAAATATTATTGGGGTTGTTTTATAAATTTAAATAAAACAGTTGGGGTTAAATTATAAATACATAAAATTAAAAGGTAAAAATAAAAAGTTAAAAAATTAAAAATTAAAAAAATAGTAACGGAGTGAGAAATAGTGCGACGCCATATTTGGCGTCGCATTGTTCATATCCGCTAAAATGCCGCAGAGAATGACGCTGGATTGGAGAACCAACGCAGCGGCAAATGGACTGTTTGCGGCATTTTGCCGTTGTGTTGGAGATGGCCTTATAATTCATTCAGATTATATATCACTTTTTCTGTACATATGAGTGCTGATGAAACTTTGATGTGCTCTTTTCAAATTCTGAAGCCTGCAGAAAAGAAGCCAAGATTTTGTGTACATATGAGTGTTGATGAAACTGTAGTATGCAAAACTGCGGTATACAAGATAACAATTCCCTAACCAAACTTACATAGTAAAATTATATGTACAACTTAGACTCCAAAAATTATATGAACAACATGCACTACAATAATTTAAGCGGTTAGGAGTGGTCGAGATTAAAGGAGGAGATGGCAATGGAAGTCATCGATCTTGAAGGAGGAGATGGCGTCGAGGCGTACAAAAACTAGACTAAATAGTCATCAGCACTCATATGTACACAAATAGTGATATAACATCTGAATGAAAAATTTAAACGGGAGAACCAAAGCTCAATGATTGTTATCGTGATCGATTTATTGTATTCTAGATTTAAAGGTATGAGAGAGAGAGAGAGTGTTTGTGTATACATATGATAATTTATATTTGTATGTCTAATTATAAACTTACAATAATTAAATATACCTAATATTATATTATGTTTCTATTCATTTTATTTTCACAGTGAAAGGATTGACAAATCTTTTGTCCACGTGTTCTATAAAGTTTTATATAAATCTGAGTGATAATAAGTATGTTGTTCAAACTCAAGGGTATTTTATAAATTTTTGTGAAATAATATAATTCCCTTTCTATAAAATTTATTCGCAATTATTAGAATTATAAGTAAGTATTTTACTTATCTTATTTCTACTTATCCTCAGTTATATTGATGCGCCAACCCAATGCCAAATTTTGGAAATCGAAACAAGATCACTAAGCACACAAGTCAAATTTGAAATCGACAATGGTACAATTGATGACATTTTTGAAGTAAAGGAATTGAATGACAGTGATGTAAGTGATTATTAATTTATTCTAGTATTGAATTATTTTCTAAACTTTATATATATTCAAATTATAGTTTTTAACACTATATCAATATTAAAAGGAAAAATTGCTTCAAGGCCCCAAAAGTGAAAAATCATTGTGTAACAGCCCCATGTACTTTTTACTTTTTTGTATAAACCCAAAATACACTATAAAAGTGCCTTTCAGCCCCTCCAGCTCAGCAGAATGAGTTGTAATCCTCAGAAACCCGACTCTACCCTTCCCGCCCACTCCGCTATAGCCTCCGTGCGTTGGTGATGTTGCCCGTCCACTCCGCCATTATCGAGGCTTGCTCTCTCTCTCCTCTCTCCCTCCCGCAATCTGTCTCTTGCCCTCTCTCCGACGAAATACCCAAATCTGTACTCTAGGGTTAGGTCAAAACTGGATCAAAGATGGAGAAAAAATCAGCAAACGAATTTGAATTTATTCACCATCCTCCTCCGCCGCTGCAACGTCAGGAACATGCACCAACGAACGACAAGCGAGAAGACTCACCCTCGACCGAGGTTAAAGCACACCCCTCACCGACGTCAACTGGTGAAGATCCCCCCTCGCCTTCCAAGAAGTACGAAGACCCCCCTTTGCCATCTGAGACCGACCATGGTACCGATTCTCTCACATCCTCTCCCGCCTCTAAGTCTTCGTCCACCCATGCATCATCATCAGGGAATGTTATATTTTCCAATTTAGATAGATGTTATAGATTAATGTTGGTGCATTGTGAACTATATGCCTGGATCTATGTAATTTAATATATTAATGTTAGGGCTGAATAAATGGCTGTTATGTTTTGTTATAAGCTACTAATGTTTCTTATAAACTGTTAACTCTGGACATTGGTTGAAGGTATTGGTAGCTGATACCTGACTTTACAGAACATGTATTAAGTTTTATTGGTGGATAACAAGTTTGGCTATTGTTTGTTAAGGTGTATAGCGTAACTGTTATATTTCATTGTTGCATGTTAACTATTTTCCAATTTAGATAGATGATTAAAGAACCTTTAATTTGTATGTGTTAACTGTAGTCCTTTAACTGTTAACCTTTATAAGCAACATGTTAACCTTTATAAGCAACATGTTAACTACTTCTTATTTGTAAATTATAGATTTTGTCAAAAGTCATTAATGATGCTTTCGAAAGGGAAGATGAGATTGAGGCGTTATCAATTGAGGAGCAGCTGAAATTTTAGAGAAATGTTGCTAAAGTAAACCACAGAATATGTCGTGCATTGAGGGTATCCAAGAAAAT